CTACTACTTATGATGGATGGAGCTGGCTATGAGGGGTACATGGGGACTTGGAACACCTTTTATTCCTAGGGGCTGGGCAGTTGAACCTGGATCTGGGCTCTTTGTAGGGGACCTGGCAGAGGCTGACAGGAGAGGCAAGCCTGGGATAAGTCAAGGTGGGGTCTGGCTGGCAGAAACCACCACTCCAGGTCTGTGGACCCTGCTGAGCTGGCGGAGAATGACATTGCCTCAGCCCCCAGACTTTGGACCCAAGTCCAGAAAGTCAGAAAGCCCCACACCCTGTCTGTCTGCTGGCTCTTCCTCACCCAGCCAGCCCCTCCTGGAGCCTCTAGCTGAGGAGGTCATTTATCAAGGCTGGCCACCAGGAAAGGTAGAAGTCTGGGGAGTCACTGCAGCAAGGAAGGGACAATGGGGGCTTTTTGACATGAGGCTCCTGAATCCACTACACCTCCAAGCCCAGTTCAGTTGCCAGCAGACTACAAACTAGTAATCAGCATCCCTCATTCATAGACCAGCCCCAGCACTGAGCTTCCCTGCAGGGGGAGCAGCTCATCACACTCAGGGCTCCTTTGCACCCTGGGCTGTACACTGCTAATGCTCTCTCCCTACCTGTGCTTGTGCCTATAGACACACAGATGACCATGCCTGTGATATGCCCTGCCTCCCCTAAAGACCTACCTTTGTGCAAGATCCCTTTGCTGATTTCAGAATCCTCACCCCAGCACCTTAGCATGGCAGCACCCACTATGCCCAACTCATTTCCTGCCTGGAGTCTAGGAGGCTGGACCTTACTAGTCACTGGGAAGGCCCCAGGGGTAGCCTCTGGCCTCAACCACTCCATAAAAGCTCAGGACAACTAGGATAGGGAGAGCCCTCCTGCCAAGCTACCTGCTCCTCCCCATGGCCACAGGAACTGGTTCCCTGGTCTCCATAGAGGCCCTCTGTGTGGCCCAGTGGTTAGCAGACAGGGTGCTAAGTTGGCCAGAGACTTTTGAACAGTTATTTAGCCTTTCTGAGACTAAGTACTTTCTTCTAAAGTGATAAGAGTAAGAGCCCCTTGGGCAGAGCTATTGAGAATTCTTTGTTTTCAGGAGAGGAAACAGAGCAGAGAGGGGCAGGCACTTGGCCCAGATGGTATAACTCTTTAAGTGGTGGGGCTGGAGTCTGATCCCAACCAGACCAGGGGGTCCTGAATCCTCTCTCCTGCTCTCTTGGCCATCCCCATGCTTTGGGGAAGGCTGCAGGCCCAGTTACATCAGTCTGCTTTAGAGCTGAGACAGCTGAGTGCCCCCTAAGCAGTGCCAGACACACAGGACTCACTTGCAGGGTGCCGGGGAGGCAGGTGGGGAGACTCCAAAGGGCCACATGGGAGGTACATGCTGAGTGCCTACTTGGTTAGTGCCAGGATACCTGGGAGCTGGCATGAGTCTGTAGAAAATGCCAGCCAGCCTGGGTGCTTGGGCCAGCTTGAAGGCTGTTCAGAGCCTGTAGTATCACCACTCCTACCCCCAGCATGGTCAGTCCCCTCTCTGCTCAGGCCTAGCTCCACCCAGCCAGTCTAATAACACAGACTTGGGAGTTGGAAGAATCCATGATAGAGGCTTGGTCTGGGCAACCAAGCACCTTGGCCTGAAGGGGACATAGCCTACCCAGTCTCTAAACAGAAGAGCAACTTAGAGGGGCTAGGGCAGGGACTAAGGGCAAGGAGACAGCTGGGCTACTGGAAGTGCATGACTGTGGCCCAGGAAGTCCGTTACCTAAAATGGCACAGTCTGTGTCAAAGGACTCCCTGCCAGTTGCTTGACCCCAGCAGCACCTTTGAGGGTAGGAATTTGGGAGGACAGCTGGAGGGGCAGCCAGGCGCCTGTGGGCAGACACCTTCTGTACCCCGCAGCTGTGCTGATGGCCCTTCAGCTGCTCCCTTCATCCTCCCTGTCAGCAGCTCTTTAGGCCAGATCTGAGTTTTGGCTTCCCTTTGGCTGCCTTTGAAACACCTTTCCAAACATTCCCCAGTCCCTCACAACCGGCAAAGCTGACCTCCTCTAACCTCTTCTTACACCCACCTGCCAGCTTATTGAAATCTTATGCAAGCCTGAAATATGATATACATAGAGAAGCACACACAAGACAGAAATATATAACACAATACAGCCCAAATAGAATGCAGCCAGTCTCCAGAAAAGTCCATCGTCCTTTCCTTATGATCGCCACTGTTCCACTTGAGGTCATTTCCTCCTTGCCTTTCTTGACACTTCATTCTTTCTGTGGTCCGGTCAGAGTGAGGGCACCTTCCTCAGGGTCTGGGAGGTGTTGGGGAGCGCTATGGTGCGTTGCCGTGAGGTGACACACGGGGGCGCGCCGCAAGGCTCTTGCCTGGATTTACGGCTGAAAGCTCTGGAATCCAGCGCCTGGGCAAGGTTTAGGAACTTGTTGTGCAAGGAAGTCCTGGTCATGACCCTTCTGGGAGTGTGCCTCTTTTTGTGAGATCCCAGTGGATGGGGGTCCGTGAGTCCTGACTTCAACCAGCTCATGGTCCTGACTGATGCAACATGCCTAATTTGGGAGACGACTCATCCAATGGAGAGTCTAACATCTAATCCATAAAAGGCACCACCCCAGCGCAGTCCTCTCTGGAGAGGTGGATGGAGCTGCTACTCAGCATGTACTTTCACTTGATAAATAAAACTTTTGCTTGCTGGTCTGTTATGCCCATTTATAAATTCTTTTGTCCATGAGACCCAGAACTGGGACAGAAAAAAGCTGACCTCTTTGGTCAGCCTGTCCTACAATAAAAGCAGTTCACATACATTTTCTGAGCTAGTGCTCATTCTTTCCAAGGAAAGTGGGATTGTTATTTCTTTCACAGATGCGGAGGCTGGCAGAGAGCAGCACTGCAGTCCTTTCTTCCCTGACACTGCAGCTGGTGCACTTACCTGCTACCTGGACTAATTTATAGTACAGCTGTTCTCTACACAATGAAATGTTCATTGCCATATACTGCTGAAATGTTTTCATTTATTTCTGTAGTGCTAGGGATTCAACCTAGGACCTCACCTCACACATGCTAGACAAGAGCTGACAATTGGGCTGACAAATCAACCTTCTTTTTACTTTTCTTTCTTTTTTTCCTTTGTCGTTTTGAGACAGGGTCTCCCTGTAGCCCCAGTTGGCCTGTAACTCACTATGGAGACCAGGCTGGCCTAAATCTCAGAGATCTACCTGCCTCTGCCTCCGCAGCACTGGGACTAAAGGCATGGGCCACCACACCCAGCTTCTTTTTATTTTTTGAGACAGAATTTCACTAAGTCCCTCAAGCTGCCCTTGAACTCTGATTCTGTAGCCCAGTCAAGCCTTGGACTTTTTTTTTTTTTCTTTTTTTTGGTTTTGTTTTATATTTTTTTGTTGTTTTGTTTTTTGAGGCATGGTCTTCCTGTAGCTCCAGCTGGCCTGGAACTCACTATGTAGACTAATGCTGGCCTCGATCTCACAAAGGTTCACCTGCCTTTGCTTCCTGAGTGCTTCCTGAGTGCCACCACACCCAGGGCTAAATTTATCTTTTTGAAAAGTCTGACCTTTTTTTCTTTTTATGTGTTTGAGTGTTTTGTCAGCATGTATATAAGTGCACCTATGCATGCAATGCCTTTGAAGGCCAGAAGAAGGTGTTGGAACCCCTGGAACTGGATACCATGTGGGTGCTGGGAATTAAACCAGGGTCTTCTACAAGAGCAGCCAGTGCTCTTAATTGCTGAGCCATATTTCCAGACCCTAAAGTCTGACATATAAACTACATACCAAGTAAAAATTCTCTTAAATTAAGAGAGAGGCGGGGGTACAGGGAGATAGAGGCAAAGGGAGGGAGGGGAGGAGGGAAGAAGGGAGGGAGGGAGGGAGGGAGAGGAGGAAGGAAGCAAGCCTTGAACTTTCGACTTTCTTCCCTCAGCCTCCCCAGTGATGGAATTACGGCTGTGTGTCACTACATCTGGCTTTTTTAATTCTTTCAATTTTTGAGATGTGGGTCTTGTTATAGTGCCCAAACTGGCCTCTAAGTGATCTTCCTGCCTGAGCCGCCTCAGTACTTAGGGTAGTAGCCTCAAGGCTACAGGCATACACCATTGCACTGGTTTTTATTTTATTTTAATCATTATGGATCAGACTTTGAGGAATGGGCGCTTGGAAGAGAGCCTGTCCAGGAAACAGGGCTGGCAGAAGTAGCCCTAAAGCAGTTGGAGAGGGACCTGTCTGGGGTCCTGAGCAAGAGCCAGCCTGAGTCACAGGGGCCCTGGCTGCCAGAGATGCTAATGCAAAGGAAGGGTGCATGGAGGTGTGTTGTACCCCAGTTCTTCTTGGCCTTGAACCTAACCAGGGCCTGGCCCTCCCACAGTGCTGCTTCAGGAGACTGCAGCATTTTAGGGAGACTGGCTATGAAACATGACTCCCCATTTCCCGATTAAACTGATAAAGATCACTTTCATGAAGAAGCAAGCTCCATTCCAGGTTGGCTCTGTACAGGCCCTCTGCTAAGTGCTTTAACTGGATCATCCATCCCTCAGCCTCCCCAGGTTCATCTGCTCCACTTTTACAAGAGAGATTAATCTGAGGCTTGGAAAAGCCCAGTGTGTACCCAAGGTCGTTGGGCCAGGGAGGGGCTGTCAGGAATCTGAGTTGAACACAGGCTCGAAACTAAAGGATGGGAAAAGTGACAGAAGCCAGTTCACAAAAAGGCTCCAGTTTCCTGGAAGAAGTGACATTTTTGTGGTTCCCGCCGCCCTGCATTTTGGAGGGGGAGGCCTTGTCTGTCTGCAGCCCTACCGAAACCATGTGATGAGGAGGAAGCGGTTGTTAAAAAAAAGAAAACAACAAAAAAAAAAACCTAGTGTAGCTGAACTCTTAACTCTCCAGGAATTCCTATCCTGTCTGGAGTGATCACTCACTGGGATTACGCCTCTGGGGTGCACGGCCGGTGCTGACCCTTTTATGGACGCGAGAATTAAGGCAGCCCAAAGAGGGAAGCGGGTGCCTAGTACAAGGTCTGGAGGTGGATAGATATCCCGGGAACAGGGCGGGAGAGTCCAAGGGTCTCTCCTACAGAGCAAGGGAGTAACCTGCCACCATCGCACTCAAAACACAGGCGCCTGCACAGAGAGAGCACACAGGCGAGGCTCAAGACCAGCGCGGCGGCGTGCACGTAGGACGTGGGGTGGAGCCAGTGTCCGGTCTGGGATGGGCTGCATCGGGAAGGGGCGGGGCCTCCGGCGGGCCTGGGCGGAGCCTCGAGGTCGGTTTGGAATTTTTGGCGCGAGCTGGCTCCGCGCGCGTTCACGGGCCGTTCCTCTCTGACAGAGTGCTTCGCTTGGGCGTCCAGAGGCACCGCCTCCAGACCCGGGCCTGCCGGGCCTCCGTGAGGCTTCCCGCGGTGTCCGACGATCCGGAACCTTGGACCTTGTCGCTGCGCTGCGTCCCGCCCCGCCGCCTCAGGTGAGCCCGCACTCGGGCGAAAGCTCCGGGGCCCCGCCGCCTTCCTCCCCCGGTGCCCTGGCCCGCACTTCCGGGCCACGCCGCGCTCCTGACGGTCCTCTGGGGCGGAGCCCCCTCCCGCTGTGGCCGGTAGACCCCCGCGGCCTCTCCAGCCCTTTGGGGTGGTCTCGGCCCCCCCGGGTCTCCGGGCCAGCGCTACCGGCCCCGCCCCGCCCAGCCCACTCCGCGCGCTGCTCGGGTGACTGCTTGCGCTTGCCGGGGCTGCGCCCCGCCCCAGCCCGACTGGACCTGGGAACCCATTCCAGCGCTGCCCTTCTTTTCCTCTCCCCTCGCTGAGAAAAGCCCTCCGGGGTGACAACCGGTCCACGCGATTGTTCGCCAGGGTCTGCCCCTCGCCCACGGAGCGAATTCAGCTGCGGTCCTGCCCAGGAGGAGCTCACAGTCTAGCAGTAGACGGTGGTCAGCAGATGTGTACAGCCGGGTGAGAGGGTGAGGCCCCCTGGAAACCGCGGAGTTCAACAATACCCCCAACCCACCCTCCGCCACGCCTCGCCCTTCCCACCCCCTAAGGCTGTTTGGCCAAGCTAGAGGTGTTAGACCGTTAATAACATTGGGACTGACACATCTGTTCAGAGCAGTCCAGGTGACTGGGGTTTCCATGTGTGCCAGGGCTGGGCATGGAGGCTGTACTAACTAGTGCCATAGTGGATCCAGACACTCTGGTTCCTCCTTTGAGAAGTCCTGGGATTTTTTTTTTTTTTTTTCTGAGATGGTATTGAATACAGGGCTCTGATTGAGCTAGGCTGGCACTCTATCACTGAGCTATAGCCATCCCTGGGATCGGATTCTTGAAGTTAAACAGAGTCATAACAAGGGGTGTAGGGGAAGCCTTGGCAGCCAAGACCCCCAGTGCTCCTACCCTCACTAGGCTAGCCATTCTTCAGGTAATTCAGTATCTTGCCAAACACAGTCTGTAGTATATCTTTTGATACATTGTGGCTACCACCAAAATAGACTCTCCCTTCTGCTTTGTTTTTTGTTTCAGTTACAACACAGCAGTAACCCCATGGCCCTCTCTGTCCCAACAGGCAGTCTCTGACACCACCACACAACTGTACTTCCTCATTTCAACTATTACCCAGAACATGGTTTATGGTAGCAGTTAGCATTTACAACAGACACCAATCTAAGTTCTCCATGAGGTCGATGCAGCATTGCAGGTCCACAAACTCCTTGCTCCAGATGTTCTTTATAATTCAAAATATCTCAGATTTAGGGACTGGGCTCAGCTGGTAGAGTGTTTGCCTAGCATGCATAATGCCCTGGGTTTGATCTCCAGCAGCACATAAACTGAATGTTGTGGTACATGCCTGTATATATAGAAAGTATATATGTGTGACTGAGGATATGGATCTAGTAGAATACTTGCCTGCCATACACTAGACCCTGGGTTCAATCCCTAGCACCACAAATAAATAATAGCTTTAAAAAAAAAAATTCCAGGCTGGGCGTGGTGGCACACGCCTTTAATTCCAGCACTCAGGAGGCAGAGGCAGGTGGATCTCTGTGAGTTCAAGGCCAGCCTGGTCTACATAGTGAATTCCCAGACAGCTGGGACTACAGGGAGACCCTGTCTCAAGACCAAAAAAAAAAAAAAAAAAAAAAAAATCCTTGGAGCTGGGTATGGTGGTTCATTCCAGCACTTGGGAGGCAGAAGCAAGTGTATCACTGTGAATTCGAGGCCAGCTTGGTCTCCATAGCAAATTCCAGACCAGCTGGGGCTACAGGGAGACCTTGTCTCAAAAAAACTTAAAAGAAAAATATCTCAAATTAGCTGGGCATGGTGGCACAGGCCTCTAGTCACAGCACTAGGGAGGCAGAGGCAGGTGGATCTCTGTGAGTTCAAGGCCAGCTGGGTCTACATAGTGAGTTCCAGGCCAGCTGGAGCTATAGAGAGGCCATGTTTCAAAAAGACCAAAAAAAAAAAAAAATCCTTGGAGCAGGGTGTGGTGGTATACACCTTTGCCACCTTTGCACTTGGGAGGCCGAGGCAGACTGTTCTCTATGGGTTTGCCTGGTCTACTAGTGAGTTCCAGGGCCAGCTGGGACTGCAGGGAGACTCTGTCTCAAAAACACATTTGAAAAAAAAAAAAAAGACTTTTCTTTCTTATTGGATTGTTTGGCACCCTTATTGAAAATCATTCAAGCCAGGTGTGGTCACACATCTGTAGTTCCAGCTTTCTGGAGGCTGAGACAAGAGACCATCTTATATAGCCAATTTTGGCTATATAATGAGTCCCTGTCTCAAACACAAGACAAAGAAGAAAAAATAGTTTGACCATAAATGAGGGGTTATTTCTGAGTCCTTTTATGCCCTTGTCCTTGTGTGAATAATAAACAGCTTCAATTACTGTGGACTTGTAAGTTTTGAAGTCTTCCAACTTTATTCGTTTATGGAATTGTTTGGG